TGAGCAACTCAAGTTGGCCTGTGACACATGAGCCAACACACCCATGCTGCGCTTCCCACCTCAGCCCATCTCATTTGCAGGAGAGAAAAATAAACGTCCATCCTGTTTCTGTTTTGGGATATCTGTTGCACAGAGCGAAACCTAATCCTAATTGCCCTAGGAACTGGTACCTGAATCGGGGGTGCTAGGTCTCAGATTTTATGTATGCAGCCTGAGATGGAGGAGATGGGCAGGGGGTGGCCGGCAAGGACACAGGTGTCACAGGTTCTCCACTGGTGACCGCTGCAGCAAAGCCTTTGATCGAGTCCTGACCTACATGCTGGGAGGTGGACCCGGTGTCTGTTAGAAGCTGTATCCTTAGAAGACAGCTCTGAAAATTCAAAATGTCAGCGTTTGCCAGTCTTTGACATTCTCAGCAAAGTTCAGGCAAAGAGAAACAACTTCCAACTAAAGCTAACTAGTCTCAAGAAAGGGGAAAAATACAGATTTGATTAGAAAGGAGCTTTGTTTCAGCAACCAACAATCTAAGTTGAGCCTATGGGGCTGTCTCTGCAGCCCCAGCAGGAGATAAGACAGATGCTTCACTGCATAGAGCCCAGAAGCCTGTATGATTAAGGGCCTGGCCTTCCACCCAAGCCCACGGTTTCATTTGGCCCAAGGGAGGTGCTATTAAATTGGGAGGGAATGGAATGGCAGAGCACTGAGGCCTTTAAAAGACCAGTTTTTAGGCTGAAAACTGTCTAGACAAGATCTTGATGGTTACTCACATGGAACCAATCAGAAGCAAACAGACCAGAGGGCTACTCAAGTCGTGAGAGACTTGTGTCCCCACAGAAACCTGAAGGCTGGCCTATAAAAAGCTGTGACTATTCAGGCCTCAAAACAACACCCAGACCCCAAATCCTCCCAGGAAGCGCGTGTTGGAAGCCCATCCTCTCCAGCATCTATCTCCGACGTGGTGCAGAGAAGACCCTTTCAGAAGGCAAAGCCATGACCCTAAAAGATGCCAGGAAAGAGTTCCCGGAGGGCAGAACATGGGTTGCCAGACAGTGACAAGGAAACGTACTGGCCGCCAGTGCAGGAGATGCAGGGGGAAAGAGCTGCTCAATTGCTGCAGAAATGATACACACATACGATGAGAGAAATAAGCACTCAGAGAACTCAGCCTGTGGTTTTGAAAATTTTTCTTGTCCTGTCCAACTGGTTATCGAAGTGTCGTCGCAACATGTTGACCAGGCTGGTCTCAAATTCCTGGGCTTAAACAATTCTCCTGCCTCAGTCTCCCAAAGTGCTGCAATTACAGTCACAAGCCACAAAAAAAGTATACCACATTTTTTTTTTATGAGACAGTCTTGTTCTGTCACCCAGGCGGGAGTGCAATGGCATGATCTCGGCTCACTGCAACTTCTGCCTCCTGGGTTTAAGCGATTCTCCTGCCTCAGCCACCCAAGTAGATGGGATTACAGGCATGCACTACTACTACCTGGCTAATTTTTGCATTTTAAGTAGAGATGGGGTTTCATCATGTTGGCCAGGCTGGTCTTAAACTCCTGACCTCAAGTGATCTGCCCACCTCAATTTCCCAAAATGCTAGGATTACAGGCGTGAGCCACTGTGCCCAGCCGCATCCCACATTTTTGACAAATATTCAGAAACAGGAATAATTCCACAAACAATAAATTCTGTTACCTGGAATTTTAGACACTGGTGTGATACTAGCATTTGTCGCTGTTCTGGTAATGACTTCAAAGCACTAAAACAACGGTCCCCAACCTTTTTGGCACCAGGGTATAATTTTGTGGAAGACAATTTGTCCATGGGTGGGAGTTTGGGGGTGGTTCTGGGATGAAACTACTCCACCTCAGATCATCAGGTATCAGATTTTCTTAAGGAGCACACAACCTGGATCCCTCACATGCATAGTTCACAATAGGGTTTGAGGGCCTATGAGAATCTAATGCTGCCGCTTTGACAGGAGGTGGGGCTCAGCCAGTAATGCTTGCCTGCATCGCTCACCTGCTGCTGTGCGGCCCAGTTCCTAACAGGCTGTAGACCGGATGGGTACCAGTCCACAGCCTGGGAGTTGGGGATCTCTGCACTCAAAATTAATGTATGAGATTCACTGATTTGTATAAAGCAGCAACTGGAAGAGAAGAGCTGCCAGTACACGCTACCTATTATTACTCCCACAAATAGACTGTGTTTCCATAAGGATAGCTCATTAGAATGGTTTAGATTTGTGTTCCTTCCCAAATCTCATGCCAAATTGTAATCCCCAGTGTTGGAGGAGGGCCTGGCAGGAGGTGACTGGATCATGGGGGTGGATTTCATCCTTGCTGTTCTCATGAGATCTGGTTGTTTAAAAGTGTGTGGCACCACCCGCTTGGCGCTCTTCCTCCTGCTCCCACCATGGAAGATGGGCCTGCTTCCCCTTCACCTTCTGCAATGATTGTAAGTTTCCTGCGGCCTCCCCAGTCATGCTTCCTGTACAGCCTGCAGAACTGTGAGTCAATGAAGCCTCTTTTCTTTGTAAACTACCCAGTCTCAGGTCTTTATAGCAATGTGAGAACCAACTGATACACTCGTGTAGGATCAAATACAGTTTTAGAAATATTTTGGAATGTAAAAAGCCAGGCATTTTGTTCATCCATCTATCTCGTGGTCCCTCTGACACCAAGGTGATCTCTTAAAATACCTTCTCCTTACAAAGGAAACTGCCTCCTACCCAGAGGACTTTCTTCCCAGGCTCCCTGACTCAGTAGGCTTCTGTGAGTAACTTCACCTAGCAGTGTTAGGAAGGAATCCCCGGGAACAGAGGACACAGTGCATCCATGGTTAGCTAAGGCCATCAACAACCATTCATTCCACATCAGCTCTGTTCCAAGCAAGGTATTCATAACAATCAAACCAGACAAGAAGAGAAACAAAGATTCCTAAACACTCTCAGAAAGGCTAAAATATTTTTCCCCTTTGAAAAACAAAAACTCTTAACCCTATGGGAGTTTCCACCTCTAGTGTTGGCAAGCTCAGCTTCCATGTCTGTCAAACACTTTTACAGACCCAAGTTTACAAAGGCAGAGGGTTTTTTTAAGTTTAATATCAAAAGTAAACTTCCTGATATCCAAGAATATTAAGGTCATGTATTTATACAGGTTCTTTTTCACCCCAAAACACAGGCTGGACAGCATGTGGTGAAGCCCAGACTTCTGCAGATGCACGGAAGCCTCGGTCCCTCCGCACGCTCTTGGGGATGCACTGCCCTGGCCACGAGCTCCAGGACCATACTTCCAAAGTTCCCAGACTGCGCTCACATGAAATATTCTTCAGTGTTCTCCACAGAAACAACAAAAATGGTCTGAAAGTACACGTATTTTTTTAACTGAACTTCGCCTCCCCAAATCTGTTGCTCAATAACTTTTCTGATTTTATTTAGAAAATGTAACTATCATGAGTTACCCCTTCAACGTAGTAAAGTCTTCACTTGAGTAACAAAGGATTATTACAGAGTTTGCAATAAGCAAGTGATGGCTATTCCATCTACAAGAACAGGCTTTTTCCTTTCTACTGGGAAGCAACGGATGTCAGGGGAGGGCTAGAAGCAGGAGAATTAGGGGACACTAAAAAATAGAAGTACCGATGACAGCACAAATTCACTCAGTACACAGCAACTGTTACTGAACATGGCTCACTTTCCCCTCCCAGTCTGTCCGCATCGCTCTGCTAATCCTCCCAAACGGTTCAGCCGGTGCTCCTCTAACACATACACTAAAACCACCATCCCAATGACACTAACTGTGAGTCAAGAAAATGCTAGAGTTCGCTCATCATTTTACAGCAATATAGCATTAAGTTCGAGAAACTATTAAGAAAAAAGCCCATAATACTCCCATATATTGAATTACACATCTGTCTAATCATGTGGTCCCCATGAGTGAAATGCCTAGAAACTATGAATCCAGTTATTCTGGGAATATTTCATTCCGTAAGATTTTGACCCCACATTGAGGGAAGGCACTTTTGTTATTCCCTTCCTCTATAACCCAATTTTTTAAACTAAAATAGTATTAGTGCTACTGAGGAGTTTTTAAAAACTCCTTTCATTTGTTCTCTACTTTTTAATCTTTAATCAAAGTCTACATAATGGAAAGAATCAAAAGGAAAACTTGCAATAAGAGTAAATTTCAAATATCCTAACAGGGTTGCAGACTGCTTTCAAAAGGTACTGGGGCTGGGCATGGTGGCTCAAGCCTAAAAGCTTAGCACTCTGGAGGCTGAGTCAGGAGGATCGCTTGAGCCCAGAAGTTCGAAGTCAACTTGGGCAATAGCGAAACCCTGTCTCTACCAAAAATACTAAACTTAGCTGGGTGTGGTGACGTGCACCTATAGTCCCAGCTACTTGGGAGGCTGAGGCAGCAGCGTCCCTTGAGCTCAGAAGGTCGAGGCTACAGTGAGCCATGATTGTACCACTGTGCTCCACCCTGGGTGACAGACCAAGACTCTGTCTCCAAAAATAAATAAATAAAAGAATTGGATAGTAATGTACCCAAAACACTTTTCAAAGCTCTAAATTTTTTCAATTTAACACAGCTTAGGTGTCATTCAAACTTGCTATTCAAATGCCCCTGAAAACCATCCTCAATTAAATGTCTTAACACTGATTGTAACTGCACAAAAGTAGAAGGATAACCTGAGCGATAATGCCACATGCTTTTTCATAATATTATTTTAACAAAAAACATTCTGAAGGCCCAATTCAAGGAAGCAAGACACAAAGCACAGGCACCTTCCATTCCCATAAAAAACAAATCTGTGATCAAAGAACTTCAACTTCCTTTCCCACGGCTGAACTCTTCTAAGGAAAGAGTACTTCCGCCTTGCTAATAGGTCTAGTCCAACGTATTCCTCTACAACTATCCCCTCCCCAACTACGGGTGAGAGAGGATGATCAACGGAACAGGATTCCTCCCAGCAGATGCAGAGAAGGCCTGCTCACACCTTACCCATCCAGGAGACGCATCGTCGTGTGGGTCACTTCAGCAAACAAAATCACTTTCCCCAACTGCTTGGTCTGCAGATTTTGGCGATAGATCTCCAAGTTGAAATTCTCTGATGCGAAGGCCTCCATGTCGGTCACCACAGGTAGATGAGATGGGGTAATTTCTACTTCAGACACGTAAGATGAAACAAATTTAAGAGAGAGCTGGCTGGATTTTATTTCTCCCTCAGAGTCCACGTGTTTCCCAAGCCACTGCATAAGAGGATCCCGGATTTCCTGTGTCATGAAGAAAGAAATGACAAGGTCGTAATTTGGAATTACATTGATGATGGTAGCTTTTCCTTAAAATGCCATTTTGGTAATATGAGTACTTCCTAAATTATGAGCACTAAAAGCTAATTAACATATTCCACACATCTAAACTATCAGCTAATATAATAAATATACTCAATATGCCTATACTATCAAATAAGCTGTTCAGAAACCAGGATCCAAGAAAATCAGTTCGGTTCATGATTATACTCCTTATCTTACATTCTGTCATGATTTTCAAGATTCCCCTCCAATCTAGAGTTCATGAGTAGTCCTCCAGTCCTCTGTGCATTTTATGGAAAACTTTTATCTTTCTGCCCTACAAAGAGATTCATTATCCCATCTAGAAAAACAACGACAGAAAATCCTGGGTGAAAGGAGTCACAGAACACAAAGCACTAAGACAGAGAACAGGGCTCAGCCTCAGGCCTTAGACAAACTCCACTTCCTCATGTAAAGACAAGGCAAGTTGATCACCCAAAGCTGCCTTCTGTTTGCCCCAAATGGAGGTACAAGGGGAGGACGGAAGGCAAAACATAGAAGAGACGCTGCCCAATCCAGCCGCAGAGCCCTCTGTTCTGCCCCTGAAACCACACAGCTGCAGGAGGTTCCCCCACCCCAGACCTTAGAGGTCCCAGAGGCCCTCCTCCAGGGTGGTTTATGGAACTCAGGGCTGAGGCAAGTCATCATCTCAAGAGACCTGCAAAAACTTACTAAGACCTTAGTAAACACAGATCCAGGCTCTTAGGCCATCCTCCTTCAAACACCAGGCCCTTCAAGTCCAAAGCTCCCTGTGGCTACAGAGAAGTGGCTTCAAAGACGAAACTTAATTTAACTAATTTCAACTGACCAACCTTTAAAACTCACATCTAGTTTGCAGATAATACAGAGGAGAAGAAAACAAGTGAAATGACTTCAGAAGAAATCCAGGACATTTTACAGGACAGCTGGGCTGGAATCTTCAACTAGTCAATGTCACAGTGGAGATGCGGTGGGGACAGAGAGGTGGAGGGGGACCCAGTCTAGATCAGAAGGGGCTTAAAAGACATAATGAAATGAAATAGGTGGTTCTTCATTGGATTCCAATTTAAACAAACTAGCTGGAAAGAACAATTAGGAAATTTGAATGTGAACAGTATACATTAAATAACAAACTAGAATTACTGTCAGTCTTAAGGGATAAGGGTACTGTGGAAGCTGGGCACAGTGGCTCACTCAAAATCCCAGCACTTTGATAGGATGAGGCAGGCAGATTGCTTGAGCTCAGGAGTTTGAGACCAGCCTGGACAACATGGCAAAACCCTGTCTCTACTAAAAATACAAAAATCAGCCGGGCATGGTGGCATGCAACTGTAGTCTCCGCTACTCAGGTGGCTGAGGTTGGAAGACTGCTTGAGCCTAAGAGGCGGAGCATGCAGTGAGCCAACAATGCGCCACTGCACTCCCGCCTGTGTGACAGACCCAAACCCTGTCTCAAGAAAAAAAGTAGGCACTGTGGTGACATAGGAAAAGTCCTTAATTTTTAGAAATGTATATATGTCATGATATCTGTAACTTATCCCCAAAATATATAAAATAAATAAAGGAAAATGTTGATAATTGCTAAATCTAGATGATGGGTATCTGGGGTATGTGTTACAGTATTCTCTCTATTCTTTTTTTTTTTGAAACGGAGTCTTGTTCTTGTCCCCCAGGCTAGAGTGCAGTGGTGTGATTTTGGCTCACTGCAACCTCCACCTTCCAGGTTCAAGCAATTCTCCTGACTCTGCTTCCCGAGTAGCTGGGATTACGACATCCACCACCATGCCCGGCTACTTTTTGTATTTTTAGTAGAGACGGTGTTTCTCCATGTTGGTCAGGCTGGTCTCGAACTCCTGACCTCAGGTAATCCACCCACCTTGGCCTCCCAAAGTGCTGGGATTACAGGTGTGAGCCACCATGCCTGGCCCTATTCTCTCTATTCTTTTCCATGTTTGAGAACTGTCATAATTAAGAGTAAAAAAAGTGGTGAAATAAACATAAGCTATTTAAAAATAATAAATTCAAGCCAGGCACAGTGACTCATGCCTATAATCCCAGCACTTTGGGAGGCTGACAATTCCAGATCACTTGAGACCAGGAGTTTGAGACTAGCCTAGGCAACATGGTGAGACCCCATCTCTACTAAAAATACAAAAATTAGCTGGGCATGGTGGTGGGTGCCTATAAACCCATTTACTCAGGAGGCTGAGGCAGAAGAATCTCTTGAACCCAGGAGGCAGAGGTTGCAGTGAGTTGAGATCACACCACTGCACTCCAGCCTGGGAGAAAGAACAAAACTCCATCTCAAAAAATTATAATAATAATGAATTCAATTGACCATACACTGGCAACCCATTCCTTCCATCATCTATTAACAAATGTTACAGAATGTTTCCCATGTGGCAGATAGTCTCACAGGCTCTGAGAAATGAGCAATGATCAAAGGGGCCAAAATTCCTATCTCTGGAGGGTTAATGCTATAGGGTGGGAGTCAGAAAGTTTAAAAAAAGGCCAGGCACAGTGGCTCATGCCTGTAATCCTACCACTTTGGGAGGCCAAGGTGGGCGGATCACTTGAGGTCAGAAATTGGAGACCAGCCTGGTCAACATGGTGAATCCTCATCTCTACTAAAAATACAAAAAATTAACTGGGTGTGGTGCTAGGTACCTGTAATCCTGACTACTTGGGAGGCTGAGGCACGAGAATCATTTGAACCCGGGAGGCAGAGGTTGCAGTAAGCCAAGGTTGTGCCACTGCACTCTAGCCTGGGTGACAGAGTAAGACTCGGTCTCAAATATTGTATTTATAAATAAATACAATACAGTACATAGAATGTTAGAGAGTAATAAGTACAAAGGAGGGGCAAGAAAGCAGAGAAGAGAGAAAAGAAGAGAGGGAGGCCACTTCAGATCAGACAGACGGAGGACCTGATGAGAAGGCGATGCTTAAGGAAAGGCTTGGAGCAAGTGAGGGAGGGCGCTGGGACAAAATCCAAAAAACCATGTCATTATATATATTTATAAAGGGATTCCAGCAAGTGCAGAGGCTCCTGGAGTGGGGAAAGAGCCTGGTCGGGGCACAGCATTTGAGCAGAGTGAGCCCGGGAAGAAGGTAGAGCGCCAGGGCCAGAGAGGTGGAGGGGGTGGCGAGGGCCACGGTCCACATCGTGGAGGGCCTCAAAGGCCACTGTGAGGACTGGGCGTTCACTCGAGGACCAATAGGAAGTGCCAGAAGGTTCTGGGGAAGGGTGTAGGATGTCCTACCTCTGTTGGAGCAGGATCGCCCCACTCTGACTCCTGTGTTGAGAGCAGCCTGAGGGGAACAAACAAGCAGAGAAACTAGTGATGAAGTCATCTATGTGACCCAGGAGTGGGACCACTGCCGGGACCACTGCCTGGACCAGTGTGGGGCAGACATGGTAAGAAAGGACAGCATTCACAGTATACTCTAAAGTACAGGCTACAGGATTTGCTAACAAGTCATACTTGAGATGTTAGAGAAAACAGAGGCTCACAAAAGAGCCCAAGATTTCTGGCCTAAACACCTGGAATGAGAGAACTGCTACTGGAAATACCACAGGGAGAGCAGGTTTGGAGAGGTCAGCTCTGGGTGTGCTAAGTTTGAACTATCTATGAAAATCCCATGGGGGCCAGGCACCATGACTCACACCTGTAGTCACAGCACTTTGGGAGGTCAAGGCGGGCAAACCACTTAAGGTCAGGAGTTCAAGACCAACCTGGCCAACATGGTAAAACCCCATCTCTACTAAAAAACACAAAAATTAGCTGGACGTGATGGTGTACATCTGTATTCCCAGCTACTCGGGAGGCTGGGGCAGGAGAATCCCTTTAACCCAGGAGATGGAGGTTGCAGTGGGCGAGACCATGCCACTGCACTCCAGCCTCAGCAACAAAGCAAGACTTGGTCTCAAAATTTAAAAAACAAAAAAAAGGAAAAAAAAAATCTCATGGAAACAATGAACTGGCAGTAGAACATGTGAGTCCAGAACCCAGGGGAGAGGTCTGCACCACGGATACCAATCTGAGAACTGCCAGGCTGTGGGTAACCATGTAAAGCCAAGAAAGAGGATAAGCTCCACGGAAGAGTGACCAGCTGAAGAGAGGATGCAAAGTAGGGCTGCTTCCACAAGGTACCACAAACTAGGTGGCCTGAAATGATAGAATCTACGCTTTCATAGTTCTTGGGGACTGAAGTCAGAAATGAGCAGGTTGACAGGCCTGTGCTTCCTGGAAAGGCTCTGGGTGATCTCACGCTCACGCCTCCCTGCTTCTGGCGCCGCTGGCACTCTGTGCTGCCCCTCGGCTTGTACACACATCACCCCCATGTCTGCGGCCACCATCACGTGGCGTTCTCCTCTTGAAGTCCCTGATTCTGTGTGTCTTCTAGTCTTCTAAGGACACCAGTCAGACTGGATTAGGGATCTACCCTAACAACCTCATCTTAACTTGATTACATCTGCAAAGACCCAACTTCCAAATAAGGTCATGTGCACAGGCTCCAGGGCTGGGCTTCCACATATCTTTTTGGGGGGCACAATTCAACCAACAAGAGCAATCCATGCTTAGGTTTCAGTGAGATCAAAAAGAGTCTGCAAAGGAGACTGAGAAAGGGAGAGAAAATCAAGTACGTCTGTGGACAACGGCGGGGGGCGGTGGCTGCAGGAGTCTCCAGACTACAGTTTTGTAGGCTGGAAGACAATGGCAGTGCCGAGGAGACAGAGCTGAGAAGTGACTGCTGGCCTCGGTGCCGCAGAGCCCAGGCTCTTGATGAAAGCAGCTTGAGAGGCGTGATGGAGACCAAAGTCTGCCGGAACTGTGAGAAGAGAAAAGCTGCAGACTGCAGGATAAAACCCGGCAGTGTCTCCTCCAAGGAGAGAAGAGAAATAGGGCAGTGGCTAGAGGGAGGAATGGGGTGAAAAACTC